AGTGGTATTTTGTTTACATTGTATAATATTGGCTATTGCAAACCACGATATTACATCAAAATCTCACCAATAAAAATAAATTTTGTTTGTTTGTTTCATTAAAACAATAAACTCAAACAACCATTTTTATAGTACGTCAAATATTGCAGCAAATTAGAAATACCGTAGCTTAGAAAAAATATTTTTATATTTCTATAAAAAATATTTCTTAGTCCTCTATAATCAACCTTGAAGAGAAATATTTACTTAATATATAAAAGCTAATAAAATAGTGGCTTTCACAGAAAACATTTAACATTTAAATGCTGTAATGAAAACTGCAAGATTACCACAAATATTACGATGCATAGATTATCACAATTATCTTGTTGTTCCTAATAATTTCTTTGCCTACTGCAGAAAACACACAGTCGAATCAAAACAATTTGCACTTTCACTGACGCCTTCATCTCAAAGCTCAGAAAGTAAAAAGGCAGAAGCTATATTAAATACAATGCCCGGCTTCACACCTTCACTCTCATCTTTCCCTCATTCACTATCCTGTCCTTCTCATCTCCTCACTTCCTCATACTCCACGTATTCACACCTCCGCCTCGCTTCACAACTCGAGTTAATACTGTATATGTTAAAGAAAACACGCAACAGCAGCGATTTCTTGTGAGCACAACCTCTTCCCCCCCTTGCTTTTAAATGGACATATCTTTGCATTAATGGAGCCAACGGATATTCTCCCTGTCACGAGAAAAATATCCTGTTGACTGGAATAAATGGGAGAGAAAGAATAATTTGCAAGTATAAATGGAGATAAGATGGAAAAAACAGAAAAAAAGAGCAGCGTAAAAGTTTGAAAAGTTGAGAAATGTTTTGTTTTTGTTTGAAATGATCCACTGATATTTGTAAAAAGACATACACACACGCATGCTCGTGCACACACAGTGCCCAGTTTGATCGGACAATAAAGGATGTCCTTGAAGAACATGTCAGTGAAAATGACAGTCTACTGAAAGCTTACACACACACACACACACACACACACACACACATACAGATGTTTTTCTCTGCTCCTGTGCGTTTCTCATTTGTATGGCTCTTGTCGAACAGATGCAGTCAAAGCCCCAGGGCAACAAGGTCTCAACCATACCCCCAGCTGTGCTTGTTGTGTGTATGTGTGGGTGTGTGTGTGTGTGTGTGTGTGTGTGTGTGTGTGTGCGTGCGCACTGACATGTCTCTCTCTGAGAGTATGAATGTGGGATGTATTTGGGCAGTGTCTCTGCATTCATGTATGTTGTGTTGTGTTGTGTTGTGTATGGGCATTTGGGCAACAGTGTGTGTGTTCTGTCTGTCAGAGATAAGACTCAGTGGGGCGTAGCAGAGATCCAGGAGAGCCACTGTCAGCCAGTGCCCTGTGGACACCATGCAGAGAGAGTGTGTGTGTGTGTGTGTGTGTCTGTTACCCAGGAATACTGCTACATCTTTCTAAGTCTCTCTGGGTGGTCATAAAGCTGATTGTAGTCCAAGAATTAGACCCAGCAGTGCCACCGCAGTGTGTAAGTGTCTGTGAGTGTGTGTGTGTGTGTGTGTCTGCATATGTGTGTGTCCGTAGAGCTTTCTGTTGCCCAGAGCTCATTCCCGGCATCTTCTATGT